GAATCTCGCAGAGGCTCGTATAGGTCCGATATCTCAGCCTCGGACAGTGACCACGGTTCTCTTGAGAGAGGATCAAGACAAGATTATGGAGACTTCCTTGAGCGGGCAAATCGTACAATTGCTCGCGATCGGAAGCACATGCCTGATCCTTTCCTCGAAGCCGCTCCAAGCAGGCCGTTCACAGTCCATTCAAGAGTGTCGTCAGTGGAGTCGATCTCGTCCATTGTTGATGAGAAGCAGCATTCGCCATTGAACAAAGCGATTGCATCCGTACGTTTCAAAGTCTTCCATGGTAGTTCGACACTATTGACGACTCGTTCCTTGGCAGTTCACCGACGCCGACGGTGGTGTTGCGCAAGAATTCGTGCAGAAGCTGCAAGGCTTGAACGCCCATAACTCCAAGCACGAGCTCTCGATTGAGAAGTACCTAACAAAGAGCGAGGAGAAGTTCTTCGACAAGGTGAAACATGACAAACTCTCTGGTGCTGCGAGCATCCGATCGTCACGACGAGACTCGATATGGGGAACGCCTGCTCCCTCTTCGTTTGACCACTCTCGCCCGTCGTCCCCAAGCACACGTTCCTTTGCGGATGGGCTTCCACCTATGGATGACTATAGTGCGGCTCTCATGAATGAAGATGCTGTCGTCATGTCGGGTTTACAGGTCGCTATGTCTCGCGAGATCGGCGGTTGGCCGCTCTACACCATCGTGCTTGGTCTTGGCCAGATGCTCAGCGCCACAGGCTTCCAGATCTCGCTGCTCTCGGGATCAAGCACTCAGTCAAGCCTAGACCTGTATGTCATTGGCGGTGTCTTCCTGGCTGCGACGGCTGTGTGGTACCCGCTATTCCGCCTTAAGCCCTCAGTCTACGTTCTGTCAATGCCGTGGATCTTTTTTGGCATAGCGTTCTTCCTCGTCGGCTTGCCCTCTGTTGCCGCCCCCTCCATTGGCTACACTACGATCTAGCCAGTGCGGCTACATGGTCATACGCGGTTGCTTCAGCGGCAGGATTCCTTTACTTCGGGCTGAACTTTGGAGAAGAAGCGGTATGTGCCCTCTATCTGTCGTCTCATTCTAACACTCACGTCATGTACAGGGTGCTGCGACAGAGACGTGGACGATGCGCGCCTGTCTCGTGCAAGGTTCCCAGCAAGTCTGGGTAGCTGCCCTCTGGTACTGGGGTTATCAGCTTGACGGCGTCTCTTCCGGTTACCTGATGCCTTGGTGGGTCGCGCTGATCGTCTGGCCTCTGGCCGTCATAAGCTGGCTCTTCGCCTACTTGTTGCTGTACGGGTTGCCAGGCGAGTCAATCGCAACGAGTTGACTGTTGGTATCAGCTGACGTGCTGTGTAGACTACTACCGTCAAGCACCGCCCAAGGTCCCTCACTTCCTGAAGACTCTGTTTAGGCGTAAGATTGTGCTGTGGTGAGCATTGCGTCTGACGAATAGAGACTCGAAATGAACCATTGCCTCAGGTTCCTCGCATCCGAGATCCTACGCGATTTCTGGCTTAGTGCAGTGAGTAGACGTTGCAGTTTGTTTGCCTGCGCCGAGAGATTAACATACGCTCTCAGCCGTACGGACGGAACTGGACTTTCCTGTGGAATCAGAATATTCCGAAGTGGCACATCCTTCTGCTCGTCATTGGGTTCTTCGTCGGTGTCTGGGTCATTCTCATGGTAGGCCTCACACAACTCAGCAAGACCCATACGTGGCTACTTCCCATCTTCGCTGTTGGACTGGGCGCCCCACGTTGGTGCCAGATGCTTTGGGGAACGTCTGCGCTCGGTCTCTATGTGCCGTGGGCTGGTCATGCCGGTCCCTATGCTGCCATCGCCCTTTGGTTGTGGCTGGGTGTACTAGATGCAATCCAGGGAGTCGGTTTGGGAATGATCTTGCTCCAGGTATGTAAGCTTGTGAACAGATTTGCTGCTTGAACTGACGCGAGCGATATTCTAGACTCTATCACGTTTGCACGTGTGCGCAACGCTCGCAGCAGCCCAAGTCATCGGAGCTTCTGTCACTATGATCGCTCGCGCATTGTCGCCAGATGGCACAGGTCCAGGACATGTATTCCCAGATTTCGCATTGTGGAGCTTCTCTCAGGGCCTGAAAGGTATGTGTACCGACTTCTTCGCTGAGTGATCGTCTGACATAAGATGTTTCAGCATCACCACTGGCGTCGTGGGCTTTCTGGCTTGGTCTGATTTGTCAAATTATCATTGTCTGCGGTTACTTCTGGTTCTACCGCAAAGAACAACTTGGTCAGTGCTCCTCGCTTCTACTTGAGAGATAGCCTTTCCTAACGCCTATACTTATCGCAGCACGCCCATGATCACGACTAGAGCCCATGAGTTCCTTAGACTTTGGTATCTGCGATGGACATCATATTATCTTCGGTGGTATATCTCTAGTAGCAAAGGGACTGTTGTTTGTGACGGACTTGTACTCTTTATCGTCGTTACGACACACGCTCACTCACTATACACCACGTATCATACTCTTGGATATCCGGCCACGGTAATGCAGCATAACCACTAGATATCTCTATATACCGCATAACATCTCGAGGCTCAGCAGCGTGAGCCGATGCGCGGCCGGTGGTCACCGGTCATTAATTCATTGATCAGGTGCGTCTGCAGTTCTGCAAGCCTGAGTGATACGTTCGAAAGGTTGTATGTTGTTGAAGCGCTGCTCGCCTTTGGTTCGTAACCTTTCGAGGAGACTAATGATGTCCGGAGACGGTTTCTATTGAACGTTGCTTAGAAGTAAAGGGCATACGAGATTGCTCTACGCGACGGTAACTAGACCTCTACTTGGAAATCATACTGCACTGTTTTGACCGACGATGTCAACACTTGTAGACTAGCAATCCCATCCCAGAACGAAGTCCTTGCCAGTGCTGATGGAAGCATTCGTCTGGTGATCGGTAGGTGGACAGATGGACGCGCCGAACTCTTCTCGCAGGAGTAAGTCTACTGCATTACGTGCTGCAACGGTTTCCGTCTCCATGGTAGATATGAGACTAATGCTTGCAGTGAGCTCACTCCTACGATACCAGGAACATCCAGACACCTACGGTTCGAATGCGTTCACGTAGTACAGCCCACGCGCTAGTTTGATCGACGGGAAGGTTGTGGTGGGAGTCAAGACGGGGTATGCATCCCACTTCAACAGGAGATTAGTCAATCCTCTAACTAGTCGCGGCGGATCCACTGACCTCTTTCCTCAACAGCCATCCAACCTTGCCGAACATACCTTCCAACCACTCGTCCGACAATCTCTGCCGAGAGAAGATCTTCACTACATGTTCTTCACCATGGACACCTCGGTATAGCTCTCCGTCTGCATTCTTCAGCTGCCCATGGAATGCCATGGCGACGAAGTCAGGATCCGGACTGACATGTTGGCGTACACCGTTGTACGACGTCATGATGTACGTGGGGACTCGGGAATCATTCGTGTTGAAACGCGCGGGATTGGGCGACGAAGACGGAGTCGTCAGCAACGTGACATGCAGACGAACGTATGGCTGGGGTGGAGGGATCTCCGCAAAGCCTGGAGGAGAGATGTAGATCGCGGCCTGGTGCAACGGTGCCGCCAACACAACCGCCCGATACGCATGTGGGACCGGAGCCAGACCTAGTGTGGATACATGCCACATCGCAGTGTCTGCGTGGTACGCGAGGGATATGACAGTCGTATTCAGGTGTACCGACGCGCCGCTTCGCTCCAGGAACTGTTCAAATATCTGGAAATTTCCACCCTTGACACTTGACGCGCCGGTAGCTGCAAGTGAGCAAAGGCCCTCGAGAGCATGGATGGAGTCAACGTTTTGAGCGTAGTTGACGCGTGTTGCGGCGTCCACAAGCTCACGCGTCCATTGCGGGTTGATGTCCTCGCCATCGAGAAACTCGGCCGCGGTGCGACTGGTAAGGGAAGTCCAATTCAGTGCCCCAACTAGAGATGTCAAGTTCTCAAAGCGCGGTGCATCAGGTGCGTAGAGCTTCTGAATGGACTCGGCCATGGATTTAACGATAGCTTGAGTGCGCAACGGGGCTTTGTATCCATAGCGCCACATTATCTTGACTTTGTCCCACCAACTACTGTAGAAACTACCGCCCGTCTGCAAAGCATGGAATGTTAGCCACCGTCGATTATACAGGAAGCTAAGAGATTTGAGTCACGTACAGAGAGGACAAATTGAGAGCCATCCCAAATTCCCATGACAGTGTTTGCGCCTTTGTAGGATACCCTTTCGAGACCGAACTCGTCGACAGCGCGCCACATGTTCTTGTTGACCTCGACGAAGATTGATGCCCCCAGTTCGATTGGTCGCAAGTCGGCGTTATTGTACGGGTGTACAACAGTGCTGCCTACCATAGTTGTCAGACTCAACCTGGGTTCCAGTGAAAGAGTAACTTACGGCCCCCAACATAATCATTACGTTCATAGAGATCAATCTCAACGTCTAGCCCGTACCGCTCTTTGGCTTTCGCGATCCAAAATGCGGCTGAAGAACCGCCAGCTCCCGCGCCTATGATGGCAACGCGCTCCGTGGGTCTGGTTGGATCAAGTCCTTGTTGACTAGGACGAGACGGATGTTTCAAGGGGACCTGAGGTCCATGGCATTGCACCTGCACAGCATGGAGGATGAATACAAGAGCGGCGCCGAGGGTCACGTAGTGCATTGCTTGAGAGCACGGTTGTCGACAGCGTTAAGATGGGCGTCGTTTGTACGAAGGGCAGGATCCAGTGCGGCGCAAGCATGGCTGGACAGTACATATATGTTCTGGCCATCCATTCCGATCAAGATGTTACGAGAAGTCGACGTCCCGGAACCTCGCCGGAACCACATTCTCTTCGCACGGGTACATATGTATTACCCCGCCGCAGCGCTCATTGGCAAGCGCACGTAAATACTGGAAATTGTACCAGCGCGTGAAGATCAGCGATCACCACTCCAGCCTAGTTGCTCCAGCCTAGTCGATCGAGCTGCCAGTGGATGTAGTCACGCTCATAAGTTATTCACATCGAAAAACATCGAAAAGCCTATTGATACAGAGCTGCCGTCACATCGCTCGAAACGACAAGCGGTTCTGCCAACTTGAACAACCAAGTATTACTCAGTAGCCAGTGAGCCACAGCATCATCTCTCGATCGAAGGGCAGTTAGACACCTGCGTCTGCAACGTGTCCGCAATGCCATTCAATGTATCAAAATCTTCCGTGAAATCGTCTTGTACACCATATTCGAGCTCGGCTCCCAGATTGCCAATGATGCGGGAGGCAAATCGAGGCTCCGAGACTTGAGAAGCTGTGTCCGTAAGTTCGCCTTGACCACTGGCAAGATGGACATGCCGTAGACTGAGGAAAAATCTAGATAGTAAAATGGCCATGAACCTGGATGAAACGGTTTCAGTTACTATCGGCTGAAGATTAGTAGACTTGGTACACGAACACGTCCACGAAGAAGTTGGCGAAGAGGAAGACCTGCCAGGAGAAAAGGTCGAATCAATACATAATTGGTATGAGATATTGGCGAACGTACACCCTTGAGCCAGAGTATCATCGCCAAAAGGTTGAGGCCAAAGAGGGATCTAATTGTGTCAAGTATTTCACTCTCTTTCAGTTACATAGTCGCAGATATGTCGTGGACTTACACGAAGTAGACAGTGCCTAGAATATAATATCAGTCACTGTACTATTTTCCAGTACGCATTCTTACCGTTGATGAATATTAAACCGGTCAAAGAGTGGTAATGATCCTTCGGCTTTGTGTCCCACCTCCGTAGCCAATAGGTCTCTCGCCAAGTAACAACAAGGACAAGGACATCGGATATGATCAGGGATAGCCGCACCACGATTGTTGCTAACAGAGGATGTTGTGTGAAAATATCCAAGTTGGCGCAACATGGGGACGAAGTACCTCTAAAGTGGAAGCATCAATAATTGGGAGCGGTGCTGGCACTACTAGTAAGCAGTGAATCATGTCGACGCTCACATATTCTGTCCAACGGTGGATATATCAAAGTAGACAATGCAATTGACTGGTGAGGGTGCCGGAGCCACGACGACATGGGCTGAAAAGAACTGCAAGAAGCATCAGGCTATGATGAGCTTGTACGCTGATGACAGCTTACTGACACTGTTCTGAACTACGGGTGCTAATACAAGGGCGAATACCGCCATCGGTAATCGCCAATCGCGGCGGAGATTTATCGCGTAGACCCGAAAAATAGAGGTCACTGGTGAGCCAATCCATTAGGCGGAGTCATAGGGCCCCGAGAGAAGTTGCATCGTACCACCAATCAATAACAGGACAGCTGAGTCCAGGGCATATAGTGATATGTAAAGCATGTAGTTGCTAACACCGAATGATTAGTCTGCCGTCTTCTAAGCCATTAGAGCATGACCCGCCTCTGTCTGCTTGTCAGCACATCGAGAGGCAGCATGATTCTTAAGAGTACGTACTTTACAGGAGACAACGAAGTAGCCAGCAAGCACTACCATCAGGAAAGCGACGACACAAGCATGCAGAAGCCCATATAAGGCGGTCACGCCAGTCCATTTGCGCCGCCATACGAGCTCAACATCGTCGCCGAAAGTGATCACTCGGTCATACATGTAAAGCGCTGTGTAGTATGAAGGGAATGTCAGCTTCGACATCACTTCCTTAGGGCGTGCGCCCTACCACAGACGGCAGCAAAGCAGCTCCATGTCTGAACACTGGTAGCAACAGCGATATTGGTTAGAGAGTTGAGGTACATCGCAAGTAGAATCTTACCCAGTATTCAGGATAAGTATTTCTTCGACCGCCGTCGTCGACATGCCAGTGACAGGTGAAGTTCGAGGAAGGGTTCTGTGAGATGGGGACACGCGATACTGCGGATTGGCAGCCTATGTAGGAACTGACCATCTCGCATCGGCAGATGTGCTTTGGGTCAGAGCATCAAGAACAATCCTAGGCCACTTGACCGTCATCCAAACATCACGGGCAGGCGCCGTCCCCCTAAGATCAGCACGATAGGCTCATAACTTCGTATGAGATTTGCGTCCTTACTGCATTATGGTATATCCCACCTATTCGGCTCATTGCAGTGTCAGGTCGACCAGTCAAGCAGTGCCAGTGAGAACCACATAGACTCGAGGGGACTTGCACTGGTGGGCGGAAGACTCGGGACGCGTAGGTGGCTCCACTGTCTATTCCAGACATGTTTCAAGCGATGTCGTATACCTACATCGACAGTTCCACGATATAGGCACAGAAGCGAACTTCATGGGATAAGAGTGGTCCGCCCCAGCTCCTGATGGGCATGGTGTCAGCGCAAGACGCGCACACGCTGGTAAGCGCGAGTACTGACAAAACCTTGAGCCAAGAAGGGCTACTATCTGTGGTAAAATACACACTATTCAGGTACTGCACCCCATGGCTAGGGCATGATAAAGTTCAGAAGATGCACCAACTCACATCGATGTGGAACCTGATTTGGGCGCGCAACATGAGCGTTGAAACGCTTGTCGTCGGCTTAGTACTATCACAACACCGACATGACTGTGACAGCACGAGGGGCAAGGAGGGATGAAGAGACGGTCCCCAACGTACCGAGTTTTAGGATACCTGCAGCCTGCTTAGCACTGACAAACCGGAGCCTGACACAGACAATCCGAAGCTGGAGAATGTCCGTGTGACCGGGTAGTATATACAAGCTTCCAGAGCTTGTGTCATCGCTAAAATGCACTGAGGGATCAGTCACGCTCGTCGCAGAATTGCTGTGATCATACCTGAGCTAAGTGCCCAAGCCCTATCAATGTAAGCCTGTTCCCCGGAGCCATAGCCTAATCAATATCAGCAGAAGTACAAGACGAATGTGTACACAATAGCACTCATCTGATCCGTCTTCCCTCACCGCCTGACCCATGCCCTGTTGCGCAAGCTCTTCGCACGAGATGTTCCGCGGGCCCTCTTCACAGCTTTCGTAATCGCGTGAACGTCGCCCGCCGCCCAAAGTCGTACCGGAGTGCTGCACGCGTCAGCCATCCACAGCTATCCCGGAACATACGCCGTCTGGGACATCGTTCGGGATGTGTACGGTGAGCAGACGGAGTGCTTGTGGAGGGTGTGCACTGAAAAGTGTGGCGGATAATCTGCCGGATATAACATCTCGAGGCTCTTGCAAGGCTCAGCAGCGTGAGCTGATGCGCGACCGTTAGTCGCTGGTCAGGTGCGTCTGCAGTTCCGCAAACCTGAGTGATGCGTTTGCCAGGTCGTGTGTTGTTGAAGCGTTGCTCGCCTTGAGTTCGTAACCCTGCAAATATTGCGCATGGAATTCCTCGGCATCGAGAAACTCAGCAGTGGTGCGACTGGTGAAGGAGGTCCAATACAGTGCCCCCTCTAGAAATGTCTAGTTCTCAAAGCGCGGTGCATCAGGTGCACAGAGCTTTTGGATCGACTCGGTCAAGGATTTGACGATAGCTTGAGCGCGCAACGGAACTTTGTATCCATAGCGCCACATTATCCTGACTTTGTCCCACCACCCACTGTAGACACTGCCGCGCATCCGCAAAGCATGGAGTGTTAGTCACTCTTCTGGGGCGGTCGATTATGCAGGAAGCTACGAAATTTCAGGTACGCACAGAGAACAAATTGAGAGCCATCCCAGATTCCCATGATAGTGTTTGCGTCTTTGTAGCATACCCGACCGAACTCGTTGACGGCGCGCCACATGTTCTTGTTGACCTCGATAAAGACGGATGCTCCTAGTTCGATTGGCTGAAAATTGTTGTTATCGTACGGGTGCACGACATTGCTGCCTAGGTCAGGCCGTGGATGTCAGTCGCGACCTCGAGTCCGGTACGAAGTTCCAGCGAGAGTACTTACGACTGCCGATGTAACCATTGCGCTCGTAAACGTCAATCTCAATGTCCGGTCCGTATCGTTCCTTAGCTTTTGCGATCCAAAATGCCGCGGAGGATCCGCCAGCTCCCGCGACGATGATGGCGACGCGCCGAGCATCTCCGTATCAGACGGAAGGACAGCGTTGTCTGTGCCACCTGCTACAGACGCCACAGTCGCGCTGTCATGGTCGTAGCATGCGACAATGAAGTAATGTGTATACGCGCAACACTAGTAGAACTGGCGATGGAAGCTGCATAAGCGCGAAAGCAACAAGCCCAAGACGGAGCTGATGGCTCACCAGATACATTGCACACAAGCAGAATCGCACACCCTCCCCACTCACTGCCCCTTCGGCTTCCCCCCAACCACCTTCCAAAAGATCCGCAACACCACGGTCCTCGGCAACCACACGAGCACCTTATACAACGCCGCCGGGGGCGCGACCATCACGGCCCTATACGGCCCGACCGCCCAGCCCTCCCGCAGCGCCTCCCGCACGACGCTGCGCGCGAACTGCTCGCACGACATGCCGCGTACGCTCGCGCTCGCCAAGACGCGCGCGAGGATGGCGTCACGGTAGCCCGCCCAGAGGCTCTCGGGCAGGAGCGGCACGCGCGGCGCGCCGTTCGCGGAGATGAGGGAGCGCACGGCGCCCGGGGAGTAGTGCAGGACGTGCAGCCCAAGCGGGCGGAGCTCCATGGAGAGCGTCTGGGAGAAGGAGGCGACGGCGGCTTTGGAGGCGGAGTAGGGCCCGGACCAGGGCGTCGGGCTGGGAGAGGGAGTGAGTTAGGTGCGGAGGAGGAAAAGACGGAACGCACATCTCGCCGACGATGGAGCCTATGTTCACGATGAGCCCCCGCTTGCGCGCGGCCATGTGGGGCACGGCGGCTTTGCAGACACGGATGATGGAGAGGGTGTTCGTGTCGAAGACGGCGGCGATGTCCTCGATCGAGTTGTCCAGCGTTGGGCCTACGCGATGTGTGCTCAGGATCACTTACGCCCCGCGCTGGACCGGATGTGCGTACGCACCGTGGCACATGGAGCCTGCGTTGTTGACGACGATGTCGATGCGCCCTTCGCGCTCGATGATGGTCGCGACGACCGCGTTTACGTTCGCGTCGTTGGTCACATCGAGGGCAAGGCGCCCGATGTCGGGGTGCAAGCCTTCCATGGCTTCAAGCCTACGCGCGGTGGCGTAGACATTGCATCCCTTCGCGGCGAATTCCTCGCAACTACGTTATGAAGATGACTTGTCAGTACGTGAACTGCTGAATTAGTGAGGCGACACGCAGGACGCATGAACCGCTTTCGTCGTTCAGTCGCATGCTCTGCTTTGGCAGACATGAGGCAGAGTCGAGATGTAACCCCTGCCATCTGCCGGTCAAGCTGCAGGACCGCACTCTTACCGCCGTGCACAAGCTTCTCGCTCGAAACTGGAGGTCCGTCTGGATGAAACGTACCACACGTCCACACACTGCGACCGAGACACTCACAGAGCGAAACCGATGCCTCCCCTGCTGCAACCTGTGACGAGGACGACCTTTGCGTTGTGAGACATGACGACAATCGAGACGCAGCACTGGCAGTCACCAGGCAGGCAAATAGATCAGGTAGAGTCGACCGTGAGGTGAAGAAGAGGTGCGGATAGGAAGCAAGATGCTTCTGGGTGTGATTCGCGCGCACTTATGTACGCGATTGGAGCGGGCTGGTGGTCCGTCAACAGCTGTGTGATGATATTTCAGACCATTGAGCGCAGCAGGACAGCGGCGATCACGGTGCGTCGCAGGATGGATGTTGTTGCAAGTGCTAAGTTGGGTATGAACGTGTGGAGGATGTGAGAGGTCGAGCGGGCGACACGTGGGGAAGACGTGGTGTGTACGCGTTGTTTGTGCGCACGGCGAAGCGAAGCGGGAGCTGTGCGTGGCTTCGCGACTCATCTGTGTTCAAATCCCAACCCACGGGCCACGTCTGCTCGCATCCCCTCGCCCCTCCCCCGCTGTGTGCATCCCAGAGCCGTTGCAAGAGTGCGCCACCGCGTCGCGCGCGTGTTTATCTGTTGCTGTTGCCGCCACACCCGCCTTTTTGCCATTTCGGCTCCGATCGTGTTCCTCGGCCAGGGGTCTCTTGCCTTGAGCGTTGTCTACGCGACTCCCACCCCTGCTCCATCCCCCCACTCCGGAGTGATCTCACTCTTTCTTCACCCAGCACTTATATCTGCTCTCCAGCCCACCCTTCCTCCTCCACTTCGCCACGACCCCCCCTGCCATGGCCACTTTTTACTCTTCTTTCTTCTCCTCCGGCCTCCTCGCCCCCATGCCCCACGAGATTTCCGGCTCGTCCCCAACAACACCCCGCGCGTCGCAGTCTAACCTCCCCGGCGCACTCCAGGTCGACACCACGCCGACCGCCAATGACTTTCCCCCTGCGCTGCGTTCCGCCAACGACATCCTGCCTTCGCGCCCGCGCTCCGACTCCCAGGGCAGCTCCCGACCCAGCCTGCGCAGGCGCCGCTCGTCTATCACCGTCGGCGCGTCGCCAGTCACCCCCATGAAGAGCAACGCCGCCCCTCGTGGAGCGCGCAATTCCTTCATGGCTGCCCGTGCCCGCTCCGGGAGCGAGTCCCGTTCCCAGGATAACCCAGAAGGCACCACCGCCGCAGGGCGCATGCGCAGCGGCAGTCTCGGTGGCCAGATGATTCGGTGAGTTCCCCGGTATGGCCCTCCTGCGAACCCACCTGAACCGTCTTGCCTCCCCTCGCAGCAACGCCCGCCGCATGTCCCGCAAGCCCGCGCCCCCGCTCCCAGCGCCTGCGCCGACCGCGCCCCTCCCCGCGCCCCCGTCGCCCCTCACGCCGCGGTCCGCCACGCTGCCCCTCCCGATCCCCATCATCTCGACGACGCAGCCGCCGTCCACGCCCCGGCGCCCGCTCGCGCGCCGCGCGCAGACCACAGACAACGCGTTGTTCCTCTCGCCGTACATGACGCCCGCCGAGGAAGAGGCTGGCATGAACTTCGGCTTGGGCGCAGGCGACGCGGGTATGCCGAGCAGCCCGGTGTATAGCGAGCCGGCGGTGTGCGAACGGCTGGGCATGCAGGTGGACTATCCGAGCCCGGTGGACGGACCCGGCTTCGTGTGGGAGAGGCCGGACGAGGCGATGAAGGAGAACTGACGCGATGATACGAAAATTGATGTACAAGAATATCGTGCGTACCCCCTTATGTCTCGCACTCGTTGCGGTGCTACGCGTTTCGGTGCTGACGTCCGTGTTCTCGTGCTCGTGCAGTTGAAGGCGACCCCCGCCGGCGTAAATATGTGTACGAAGCCCGACATAATCCCCTACTATACGGCGCGACCTGCTCAGACGCGTAATGCCTTCTTGCAAGACCCAAGAACCCCGAACCGCATTCC